GGAATGCTGGCTCTAGGCTGGCAGCTTTCCCCCAGAACACACGGCCGCTGATTCACACCGTACCAGCACCGCGTTGAGGTTACGTGCGCACTAGGGCTTTTGTTTGCCCTGGTAATGGACACTTCGTGTTTTCTGCTCTCAGTGCTACGAACACACTCTGCTTCACCCAGACTCGCAAACAGTGCTGAACTAGCCTTGGAGTCTCTTTCCAGGGTGGTGAGAGCGTGTAGCACCTCCTCATCATGGGGGGAGATGTTATCTGTGAAGCCTGATGAGGGGTATTTATAAAGCCAGCAAGCAGATACATGCAGACTGAAGGATGGAGCTCCAACTTGACCCTTATCACCTCGGGTTTACATCAGCAGGCCATATCTTGCCCCAGCTCCAGCACGTGACTTATTTTTATGCATTCTCACCATTTTTATTGGAGAAAACTTTATTGAAGGAACTCCTTAACCACACGACTGTCTCGGTACCTCTGCACTGCCATCATGCAGATATCACGATGGCTTGTTGTGCAACTCTGCCTGGAGTCTCTTCAGTTTCAAAGCTTAAAATGCCTGCAAACAAAGCAATAGGCTGATGACCATCCAACAGCAGGAGCTTGACTATGCCTGACAGAGCCACGCTAACATGGAGAAGAGAGTCTTTGATCTGGAAGCAGCTGAGGATCACAAGACATCATTACACTACACGACTTAGAGGAATCTCTAATCTTCTTTCTAGCTAATGCAACCTTCCTATGCCAGCACTTACACAGTGAAATCAGCATGTGTCTTCAGAATTTATGCATTCTGAAATACTGGTAAGAGTATGGCTAGAGGTCATGCCTACAAGCTGCAAGACTCCGCTCTGTCCACCACACACCATCAGTGACAACTAGGGTTGTCCAGGGAGAACTACCACTTATACGTGACAGCAGTACCTGAACTCAAAACCCAGCACATGACACCACTCTAGCAACACAGATCTTTGATCTGTAGTTGAATCTATCCCTAATGTTTCACTGAGAGCATTTTACCTATTGGAGCACCTGTACTGGAAAGAGACGGAAAAAGCAACTAGCCCTTCATTCCAGCAGACCACAATCAAAAGCAGATCTTGCTGTGGTCAAAGCACTGACCTGAAACTATTCTTTTTTCAACTACCAATGTCCCCCTCGAAGTCACTTGGTTAAGAGCTAGTCGTCAAAGGTGTTCCAGGTAAGAAACTATCTAGTCCTCATGACTCTAGGAGAACAGAGGGCAGCGGGGAAGACGCACAAAAATAAAAAAAAAGGTAGTACAGCATGTTCTGCAAGCTAGTTGTAATCGCTCTGTGCAATGGGTAAACATTTAATATAGTACTCTCTGTTGCTCTTTGCTGAAGAGCCATTAGCAAATGAACTTGTATTTATTGCTAGGTGAGCAAACATACATTAGAAACGAGCATGAGTGTGTGGCCATCAGTAGCTAGAGGCATTTGCACCCTATGTGAAAAATGAGAGAAAAAAAAAAGCCAGCAGCGTCTTTTGAGTCAATTTTCCAAGTTGTTTCTCAAACACGGGCATCACTGCCTTTATTATTTGTGCTCTTGAGTTAAGCCCATCCCAGCCTCTCCGGGAGGACAGGAAGGAGGAGGATAACCTACATTTAAATCTGATGGCTTCATGACAGGCTACGCCACTGAGCTCTTTATGGATTTACTGAACCGTTCCGCTTCCTGCGCTCGCTGCTGGTGTATAACACAGCTGTTACAGACAGATTGCACTAAAAGTGTGTAGCCCTTAATTAATTCTGAAGGCAACTGCCAAGGCTTAAAGATTCTTTTTAAATATTCCATTTTGTTGATGAATTCCCGTTAAATAGGAAAATGCTCCAGACAATACTCTGAACATTGCCTCTAACGCACTGTAAAATATTAATGTCCAAATGATACTTCTGAGTTTCGTTTATTTAATCTGGATCACAACAGAAGGGCTAAAGGATTAGTCAGTTCTGCCACAGAATATTTATATCGCATCCACAAAACAACAAACCAATAAGGTGGAAGCAATGGCACTATTTTGTTACTTGGAATTTGAAATAAGACCGTGTTTTCTGTAGCACTATTTTTACCTTTCTGACCTCACGTATCCCTCTCAGAGACTTGACTCATTTATTAAAGAAACAAACCCAGAACTCATATGGACACATTTTAACAGCGTATCAACACGTAAAGATTATTGCAATCCTCACAGATTACTTCCCTAATACCACATCCTATCCCCAAACATGGAGAGGGCAGATAATGTTCCAGCTTCTAGGCTAGATTTCATACTCAACACCAATCCCAGCGGAATTATCCTGGGAAAAAAAGTAGGTCCCTGAAATTTGCACCTGCAGTTTCCACTGTATCATTTGCAGAGCCAACCCACAGTGAGAGCACCAAAAGATTTAAAAATTAAAAGCATAATTCTTCCAGCTGCACGACGACCCTTGTGCTCCGGCACATTCAAATCACCCAGCAGCAGGAAGACGACCACTGCAGGGTTTTCTGCACAAAAGCCCTGAATTACAGCCCCCTTCTAAGTTTCATATGCTCAACAGAGCCTTGCTGTTTTCTGCTGTGAAAGATGACGTTCCCATTAAATAAAGAAATCTTTTTTGGAGTCTTATTTACTACTACCAGGCCAGTTCCCTGCTC